TGAGTTTGATATTTTGGAACAGTGAATGGTCATTATATACAGCAGGAAACAAGGTGCAAACTGCAAAACCAGCATCCTGATTCCCGGCCAAGAAGAACACATTGGCTCCTATTTTGTGTACCAACACTGTGAGAGAAGGTTTACAGCTGGAGATTTTACTCCTGGTCCCTCCAGCTTTTTATCTATCAAAATATCTTGTTTCCTCACCACTGGTGAGGGTTATGATTATATAAAAACATGTGAAACCAAAATGGTCCAGTATTTTTTCTATGTGATAATACTACCCTGTATCCTTCAATTCACAGAACCAGGTCACGGACCTCAAAGAGATGTGCGATATCCTCAAGAAAGAGAAGACGGACATCGAGAGGAAGCTTGGCAGTGCGCGTGGGGTGAGACGCTACATCGCACCGTGCGAAGTCTGTGCTGGTGCTACAGAAACCATCTCGGGTGTAATATGCCACCGTGACCTTTTCCTGTCCAGGCTGGGCGGAGCGGGAAGACGATCCCTGAACTGGAGAAGACCATTGGGCTGATGAAGAAAGTGGTGGAGAGGCTACAGAAGGAGAACGAGGGCTTAAAGAAGAACCCGGGGCCCATGATTCAACATCGCCAGACAGCTCTTGAACATGAAAATGAGAAAATTAAGGTAAAGTCCAGACAAACACACCAAGGGTCTCTGTACTCGGCAGAATAGTCACATATCTGCTGAGGCCTTCAGTGAGGCCCTTGACCTCCTACTCCATGAGTGACAGATAAATGGCTGATCCTGTGCTCAGACCCCAAGCTTTGCTCTCTCCTACATATACAGTACTGTGCAAAAGTCTTAGGCAGGCAAAGAAAATGATGTTTAGATTATCCTTGTGTTGGTGTGAAACTGATATTATGCCTGTCAAAGTGTGTCAGCTTAGCCATTTCAGAACCTCTGCTAAAATCATCCCAGTATTTTTTGACTTGGCCACTAGCACCTCATACAGCTGGTCAATCTGTCACTGACTTTTTAAACCAATGTATTTAATTATTTAATTGAGCTGTTGGTGAAATTTGACAAAATCGTGGAACGGCTGAGGTGCCCCTGAGGTGAAGCTTGGGAACTGAAGCGGCGTTCATCTAGCCATCCAACAAGATATCAGTAACTTTTTAGAAAACAGAAGAAATTATTACTAGTTTTTATTGTTACTCTTAATTTGCATATGTTCTAATGTTAAATTGTGTTTTTTGTTCTAAGCCAAAGTACACTTGCTACCCAGATAAACAGCTTTAAACATTTCTTTGGACTGCCTAAGACTTTTGCACAGTACTGTACATGTATGTGAGTCTCAAAAGAGAGCAACATGGGCTATGTGATAACTAAAGAAGTCTAATGTACCTGTATATGTATTTGTGCAAATGCCAAGGAACTCAGAAGTTGCCCGGTGGAGTTCTATTCTGAGTTAAGCTGTTGACTAAAGCACGGGGTATTTACACGCTGCTTCTGAAGGGAGATCGCTGGAAGCAGTGAACCACAGAGCACAGACAGGCTTTGATCTTCTCCTTCATGATAATTAAGGCTTCCTTGGCAGTGTTTCCTCTTAAATCTTTTAACAAATGAAATATTAATGAGAAATAATTGTGATAAAAGAGCTTCTTAGGCTTCTACATGTTCGGAATTAAAGGATTACAACAAAGAATATGATTGTGTTTTAATATTTGAAAGGTTTTTTGTCAAAGCTTGGTCTTTCACTTTGATCAGCAAAATTAATTATTTATTGAACAGATACAATTTGAGTGTTTTTTGAAATGTGTGTGTTTGTGTTTTTAATGTTTTGTAGTCAGAAAACGAGAAGCTCAGGGTCCAGATGGAAGGTATTTTATGTTCAAGATCTGAACCAAAGACAAATGAAATGGAGAAAATTTTGTTGGAAAATGAGCATTTACTCAAGGAGCTGAAAAAGGTATCTGTAAGCGCTGAATCTGTTTATGCATGTTAATGGCCTAATGAGTTGCAGAAGTTAACGCACGCTAACAGCCTGATGAGTTAGCAGCAGGTAAAACACGCTAACAGCCTGATTAGCTATCGGATGTTATGCATGCTAACAGCCTGATGAGTTAGCAGAAATTAACATAATGCTAACAGCCTAATGAGTTATCGGAAGGTAACGCACGCTAACAGCCTGATGAGTTAGCAGAAATTAACATAATGCTAACAGCCTAATGAGTTGGCAGAAGTTAATGCATGCTAACAGCTTAGTAAGTTCTGTGGTACTGCAAAACCAAGGCCCATTAGCTTGGTATGACTGGCAGTATTGCTCTTGCGGCTATGTTTATGCAGACATTACAGAATTTTGTAGTGAAGGAGAGGATTTTCCTTTCTGCACATGGGGGCAGGAGAGTGAAGCTGCTGAAAAACTGAGAATAAACAAGGACAACTTAGAAGCTGCCAACCAGCAGCTGCTGGCCCAGCTAGAGGAGAGCAGGCATAAGTTTAGCCTGGCCCAGAGTGAGGAACCGGCGCTGCAGGAGGTCGGCAAGAGGAGCTGTAAATCCATGGTGGTCACAAGGTCCGTTTCACACTTCAAAGTCAACCGTAAAAAAAAAAGAATGTGATTCAGATACTGTATGTCATATATGCTGGAAGTCAAGTGTCTTCGGAATGGAGAGAAACGCTTGCTGAGGCGGTACTACTTCCAGATCTCACTGTGCATCCAAACATTTCCACAGGATGTACGAGAAGAAAATGAAAGAACTGGAGAGCGACGTCGCTCAGAAGAACAGCAGGATCTCCGACCTTGAACAGCTGTTGCAAGAAGCCAGTGAGAAAGAGACGGCGGCTTTGCGTGTCATCAGTGATCTCAGGGAGCAGGTGAGCTCTGTTCTGATCAGCATGGAGGCACCTGCAGGTCCATGAGCCGCCAGTCAAGCCCATAAATCACGTGCAAAATGCAATATCCCATAAGCAGATGTTTCCTGATGTATAGTCTAGTATTTTTTTTTTTTATAATTTATGAAGACTTTGGAAGACCAGATGAGGCTTCCTACTCTACTTTTCTGTATTGGGATGAACCCAGATCCCCAAATTATCCCCCGGTCCCTGCCCTTTCTGGTTGATCTGCAAGATCTTCTTCTTGTTTTTCATGTATGAGCAGCCTTCCACCATTCACCTTTCCAGACACCTGTCTGTGGTTTTAGCTGCAGTTCCTGCCCCCCCCCCCCCCCCCGACACTCTGCTTGGTTTTTTTGCTGCAATTTGAACCCCTATTAAGTAAAGTGGGAACTCCAAAACCCTACTACAGAGGAACTTTCCTTTGGCCTTCAGCATCCCTTAGAAGGGTGACCTTAACATGCCCTGCGTGTTCCATGTCTGGGCTCCTGCTTGTCCCTGGTGCCATTTAAGGTCCTTCAGCAGCTCCATGTGTGTCATATCAATAGGGCTAACATTTGTTCTGAGGTCAGTCCTAACTGCAAAGTGCGCCAAGTGACTCATGTGGTTTGGGTTTGTCGTGAATGATCCTGCTTGGACCTTGATATTTGATATTTTTCTGTAGTGTTTAACCTCCTTATAAAGCCTCCAAACCTCCGCTAGCTCACAGTCTGCGTTGCCCCTCTGTGTTGCCCCTCTGCGTGCCCTCTATCTCACTAATAACTGGGCATAGAAATGTATGCATCTTCAGTGTATGTTGGTCAGTTTACTTTGTTGTTTAAATATATACGTTTTCTGGAGGTGGCCCAGAACATAATGAGTACATTATGAGAGCAGCAGACAATGTAGCAGCTGGTGAATTTACAGTCCTTTGTCTCCTTTGGGAGGCTGAACTGCTGAAGCAGCTTCCAGACGGTGCCAGAACAAACTCAGGCCTACAGAAGGAATTCCAGACATTAAGGTAATGGCTTAAGCTTATGTAACAGTGGCGATTTGTGGTAATCATTTGTGTAGCTCTGCTCTCCCCATGTAGAACTACTGTGACCAGAGGTCAGGGGGGTAACTGTAGCGAAAGCAGCATATTGGTAATAATGTCCAGCTGGAACTCTGTGTGCGGCAGATTAACCAACCTACAACTTGAGAAGGGCAAGGCGGCTCTACTCCAGGAGCTGAGGGCTTACAGAGAGCGTGAGGGACCTTCAGGCTCTGCTGCCGTGCCAGGTGAGGAATCCCACCTCACACGTCCTACCTGTACTTCGCACGTCACGTTACCCAAAGATAATCCCCTGATGCCGTTCTGTTTACCAGTTAGCTACTTAATATGAGATAAACTGGCTGGGTAAGCACAGTAACTATGGCATGTAACATGTGAAATCAAACATTTAGGAGATGAAGGCCGTGATGTCGCCGCCCTACTGACCGCGCTGAAAAAGGCAGACGTGGAGAAGCAGCAGCTGCAGGTACCAAATCCAGCCTGTGCATTCTCTGCAAATGCTGGCATTGTGATGAAATACTGACTAAATGTTTTCAAATGGGTTAGGATGAAGTCAAGAAGATAAAGAAAGAGTTGGAGAACTTTGACCCAGCGTTTTTTGAAGAGCTTGAGGACCTGAAATTTAATTACAGCTTAGAGGTAAAGAAAAACATTCTTTTAGAAGAGAAAGTGAAGCAGCTTAGTGATCAGTTGGGAGTGGAAGTGAGTATCTCCACCGACGGGGCCATCGGGTGAGGAAGCTGCAGGACCAATGCTGAGTGCAAAGGATGCGTGTTCAGGGACTGCCCCCCTCTGCGTGGACATAGAAATACAGTGTGGTTATCATCTTAACTGAGGAGATTTCTTATGAAATGTTAATATACGACTTACTTTTGAATTTTCATTCAGCGCTGCTGTAGGAAATCTCAGTGAGATAGACTCCTATGTGTATTTGCACATCTATTTTAAAGACATTTCAGTGAAATATTGGTTTCTGTTAAATAAATGTCATATGCTATTTAATTTGTATGATCAATCAAACATGATTTACATAAAACTCGACACACATGCCTTGCATCTTAATCTGAAAATACAGAAATGTTGTTTGAAACAGGAAGCCACTCCCACTTAGATTTAAATAGTTTAATAACATACAAGAAATACAGCTGCTGTCCGTACAGCAGCATAAGCTTAACTCTTAAGATCAGCCATATTTTGGAAATGAACTGATCAGAAGATGGCAGAAATGCAGAGGTAATGTACACTTCAGAAAGGAATGTCTAAGTTCACGCCCCCCCTCACGGCACACCTTGTCTGTCCGCCTCACCTGAAAATCCTTAGTTTTGTTTCTGGGTGGAGGACACCGAGTTTGAAATGAACTCTGACCTAGCAAATGTAGAAGGTCAATCGGCTCATGCTGCCTGTAGTGTTAGATTATATTCACTTTTATTCCTGATATCGCTCTTGCTGCTGCTTAGCTAATTTAACCTTTGGCAATATAGCTTCAAATGACAAATCTGCAGTGACCGATACCTTTGTGGAGCAAATATTTACACTGCAATGCACTCAGATGTGCAGAGATCTTTGCAGATTAGCCTTTGCAAGTCGTGTTGGCTTGTGGGAATTTCAGGGAAACGCACTCATTCAGAGCTAAAGTTCACTAGCGGATGAGGCTCTAGCCAACCACCATGCAAACATGAAACTACACAATGTCCATCAGATAAAATCCGGAATGGCTTCACGGATCCCACATGCATTTCAGCTCATGTTCCCAGTTGGATATCCTGAATATGATCAAAGCTCTGTCCTGCCAACCTTGAAAATGCAGCAAACAGGTCTTGCGATGAAATGTCCAGATCAAGGACCGCCAAACTCAGGCTGATAACCACAGGTCTCGTGTTTAAGAAAGGGGCCCCGTTGGGCCAATTTAATCCCAGGTGGTGGCGGTGGAGCTAAAATGAAACAAACGTAATTCACCACAAAACATTTGGTGACACCAGTACAGTATGTTAGGATGCTAGATGCTTACCTTCACAAGAGTGCCATTGAGGCAGTGCCAGACGATACCTTCTACCTCCGCTTCCTCACAGTCGTGAAACCATCTCAGCAGCTGGCTATAGTTCACAGGTGGTGGGTTCCTGATCTGGAGAGCTCCATGAGGTACCAGAAGGTGCACTGGTCGTTTCTTGCTGCCCAATCCTAGTAAGCCAACAGATCGAGTGTCAAACTAATCTGAGAGAACAGCAAAGGAGCTTCAAGCTGACCTGTGGGCTGGCCGCACTCTCTAACCGTAGGGATTCGCATTGATGTTGGTTCCAATGAGCTCCAGTGTTTGCTCGAGCAGCTCGGAGAGAGGAACTGCGGCTATCTCAAGGACGTCTCCGTTGTCCGTGTTGGGCCTCAACACAAGCGCTACTCCTGCGTCGTAATTCACCGCGGACGCATGCCAGCAGTACTGCTTGCTGCTCTTCTCCACAGGAACCCAACCTAAATCAAAACACCAGACAATGACTCCACTGAGAAAGCATGTGATGATAAGGAACCTGTCAACCTAGTTTCATAATAAAGTATCAAATAGACAGCATGGAATTTCCATGATATTTAACCAACACGGCTGGATCTGGTTTAAATACATCTGTCAAAACACTCAGAAAAGAGATTAATTTTGTATGATAACGCAGAAGACAAATAAAACTAAGAATGACTTGAACCATTCGCCCACATTCCTGGACCGTTCCTGAGCTATATCTCTTAGATCATCATGGAGAGACATGGTGCAATACCTGGAATGTGTCCGTTGTCATCTGGTACTGGCTGTCCATTCTGGTGCTGAACACCAAGTGCAGGGATCCAGCACTCAGGAACACTTTTGAAGTCCTCCTCAATGTTCCAGGTGAAATCTAAATAAAGGTACTCACATTTTTGTCAAAACTGTATGTACTAAATATGCATAAAAATAAAAACTATTAATGTCAGATTCTACTAGGTTAACTATTAGTTGAAATCAACAACGCATTAATAAGTGAACCCTAATGCAATACCTTTGCAGCTGGTGTGGGACTGCAGAAATTTTTTGAACCTTTTGTCGGCCTGCTTATTGGGCTTCCTGTCCAGCCGAGCCCAGAGCCATGGCCTCCCTGCGGGGAGAGATAGTGCTTAGCACGTCCGGAAGACGCTTCGCGCTCAGTGACCTGCAGGGGGCGCTGCTTACCCTGGTAAGAGGAAACGTAGCAGCAGGTCCCATCCAGCTTCTCCGTAGCTATCGAACTGTGGACGTGGGAGGCCTCCGCTCTTGGGTTCAGCTTCTCCGTAGCTACTACTTGAAAGTGCTACAGGCATAAAAGGTCTGTAAGTGTGCGTGTGGGTCTGAGCCTCTCCCATGATGCATCAAGTCCGAGGACCTAATACTCCGATGAATAATGAAAATTATGACTCATAATAACCTGCCAAATACCACAAACCAGGCTGCTGCGTGTAACGGTAATGACAGGAATAATAATGTTTGCCCCGTGCTTGTGCAGCCCAATATCTTAGGCGAACTGGCATCGCTGAATGGCGGTATATGTCCCCTGTGATGGACTGGCATCCATCCGGTCCAGGCTGTCCCTCACCCTATGCTGGAACTGGCTCCATTTTCCATTCTCAGACTATAATACAAGTTATTTTTGCGCCATACAAAGCGGAACAGCATCCATAAGCGCTTATAGCACATGGCTCGTGTGTGACGGCCAAAGGATGATGACGCAGACGCACCTGCAGATGGCGCTTCCTTGACGGCTCCTCTTTGACCTCCGTCAGAAAGACGCAGGGTACCTTTTGCTGAACAGCGGCCAAACGGCGCATTGTGCTGGTAAATCAGGGAGTGAGATCGCGCATTGACGGCCACTTTCTTCCCCGGAAATGCCGCGCATGTGCATTATGGCATCGCGCCGCATCTCGGGACTTGTAGTTCATCGCCACGTGGGCGCCGCCATCATGCCCGAGAAGACCTGAGCGTTTTACTGTCGCACATTAATGCAATTAAGGAATGATATAAAGGGCTAAGCATAGTAAAGGTGCCAGTGCAGTCTGATCTGGTACATTGTTTTGGATCTGATTCATTCATTCATTGTTGTACCCTGTCAGGTAATAAGAAGTCCTGATACACAACAGAAATGGTAATTTTATTGCATGAAAGTTACTGAACTTTATAACAACGATGTCAGTATTTCTTCTTATATCTCAGCATTTTGTCCTCGTTTGCTTATGGCATTGCATTCTAAGTTTATTTTTAGCTTATATGTGTATAAACACATGGATATGACGTGCTAAACTCAATTCACTGATTAATAATATAAAAATGATTGCGTGAAATTGTTGTATGTTTGTCCTTGTTAAAGGAATGATGTGTTATTTCTCTTGAATTAATCTCTCTTGAATGAGATTAAATCAGCGATGATGCGGTGTTTACGCGGTGCGTCCACTAGGTGGCAGTATTTTCACACGGGCTAGAAGGGTGTCCGCTTCGCTGGACTCGCCTATCGAGTATGTATTAAGTCATTGACGTAGGTGTTGTTTCCTCTTCACGTTAGGGCTATATTTCTTTTTTTCCAGCTGAAATACAACACTTATTTTGTCTTAGCTGCACAGCCAGCAATCATAGGCTAATGTGTAAACCAATGAGCATGACTTTCATTGACGTTTTATCTAGAGGCAGACAGTGCCGCTGGTTTCCCACACACCTGCCATGAAGAGGGATATTCCTGCAATCGTTGCCATGACATTGTAGCTAAAGGTTTGCCAGTTAATATTGATCAAGCCCAGGTAGGAAACCCTGAAATCCAGAGAAACAAGCTGCTTTCAGCCAAGATTGAGCGCTGTAAGGATTGAGGAGAGGTATTTTAAGGTAGGTAAGGAGGCTCTTTTTCATCCTTATGGACAGTATGCAGATTTCCAGCAGCTGCAAAGACTCCTGGGACATGCGCCAGTAGCATTTAGATTTATACGACGTATTCCTCACCATAACACATGTGTCCTGCCCTTCAGTCCTTCTTGTCTTAGTTCAGCTTGTAAACTGTAGGGGTGTCAAAAAACTGTGGCCAGTCTTTGAAGGGTCTCCAAAACCTAATGTTGGGCCCCCTGGTTGGGAAAATCTACTAAAGAAGCTCTGCATTTTTAGCTGTGCTCTTAGTTAACAGTCAGCTTGTAAATTAGTAATGTCCATGGCCAGGAAAAATACCCCTTTTCATGTGAGATGAGCCAGTGGCCCTGGCATATGTCCGAATGTGACACTGGCACAGTGCACTGGAAGGAATTTATGTTCTTAAAGCCTGGTGCCAGAATCTCTGATCACAGCTCCCATTGCTGTGTGCTTGATTTCAGCTTTAAGTCCCCAGTGCAGGAAGGGTTAGGCAAAGCTTTTCCATGCTTTGCTCAGTGCAGACGGGCAATCTGTACATCCAGCTTGACAATGTGTCATTTTTTTGTACCTCTGTCATCCTTTGCTTAGAAACCTTTCTTCACATGACTCAGACCTCTGTCACTTTTACAGGAGTATAAGTTTATCCATTTAATCTTTTTTTCTAACTTCAGACAATGACGGATGTTAAAAACGTGCTGTCTCTCTCAGTGCTGTTATTAGAGATTCTGTCTGGTATGGCATGCCTGAGTAGGGGACTTCACCTTTAAGAGAAGCGCCTCCCTTTAAGATCCTGCCTGCTTTGATGTTTCTCTTACTTTATTCCTCTTACTTACACTTAAAATAGACTCCTGGCCAAAATGATCTGTCTTTTTCACCTCCAGGTGTCTCTCTGTTTAGCTTCATGCTGTGCATGTTTCAGGGGATTGTTTGAACTTATAGCTTTTGAATCTTTATTTAAGCCAATTTAAACTGTATACCCAAATGTGAGGTGGGGGTCATTGTTTATACTGCAGGGTTTATTTATTTATATATATATATATATATATATATATATATATATATATATATATATATATATATATATATATATATATATATATAAATAATTTTTTAATACAACACTTCTGGAATACTGGTTTTTAATATAAAAAGTCACAATCTAAAAAATAATAAACTCTTTTTTTTTTATAGGTGAGGTACGTGGCTCAGCAACCTAAGTCTGTGTGCCTGTGATCGGAAGGTTGCCGGTTCGCGCCCCGGCCTCAGCAGAGCAGTCACATGTCTGTGGCCCTTTAAGAGCAGTCACATGTCCGCCTTGGGCAGAGCCTTGAACCCCCCCAGCTCTGCACATTAGTTGGCCCTGTGCTCTGACCCCCACGTTATTGAGAGCAATGTGGGGTTGGTGAAGAGAAGCATTCCAGTGCACCTGTACTTGTGCAAATGGCAAATAAAGCATGTTTGTTGTTATACTGGAAGCAGACGCACAGTACAGTTCACCCTTCTGCATTGTGACTTTCCCCACTGCAGTGTCGATATGTCGCTGGATTGGCATGGAAAATTAAATGGGAATTTGGGAGTTCTGCAAAAGCCAGCTGATGGTAAAGCTGAGAATCCATCAGGTGATAAAGTCACATCTAGCACAGGTCATTTTGCACACGTCTTTTAGAAAATGAAATCTGAAAAACAAAACTCAAGCAATATACCTGTAGAACTAAAATAATAAAAAAAATACTTGCCCTTGAAATTTCTAGCGCAGTGCGTGTAGACAGCATGTAGACAGCATGTAGACAGTGTATCTTTCACTCTTACAACATGTTGGTCTTGCACTGTGTTCCCTGGCAAACATTCAGCTTTCATTCTTTGGGATTAAGCGAAGACGCACAGCCCTGCCAGCTCCATGCCGCATCAGGACATCCAGGGTGCCGCTGCAGTTATTTCCCTGAAAATCACCTTAAGGCTGCTGACATTGACTGGGCTGATGAGATCCTCCCTCTCGCCAGTCACTGTTACAGATGATAAGGCCGCTTATGTTGACGGGCTGATGCCAGTCGAGACGCAGCCTTGACCTTCTTCACTGTCCTTCTCTTTATCGCTTTGAGGACTGAGGCTGGATTTGGAGGTATTTTGAGGAACGGCTCTGAGTCAAGAGGCACCCCAAGCTGCCTCGCTTTCTGTCCTCCTTTAAAAGATGGAGCCTCCTTGCTGCCTGTTGGGTAAATGTCTCTTTGACTACTACTACTAATAATAATAAATTTCCACAGCGCCCCCTTTTGGGTGTAGCCCCACCTGCGCCCTGTGCTGCCAGGAACTGTCTTCAGGATATGCACTTGTAAGATGGTAGTTCTGTAAGAAATGTATGTGTAACATCAAATTAATTAGGAAATTAATACAAGAGGCATAAGTCATGCACTTTCTAAGAACACCTATGTTTCATTGGTAGTACTAGGTGGCAAGAAGCTGACGTGAATGACAAATGTTTACAGAATGTTTATCAGTGTCATGGGTATCTCATAAATGTTAGTATGCCCAGTTTGTATGGCTCCTAAAATGAGGAAACTCCACTACCCAGCATGCAGTGCACAGAACTTCCCAAAGAAGATGCAAATTTATGTGTCCGAGTCTGATTAGGTGACCGTTAAAGCGTGATATTCTATCGCTCTTTGATTACTTGCCATATGAGTGCTGGTATTTGCTGAATTTTTAAACCACAGGATGTATATATCTCTAGATAGTTCCGATCATAGCTTAAATTTCACCATTTGTGGACCAAGTAGCCTAAAAGAAGCTGTAATTATGCATGGATAATTAATCGCTAATGCATCTTAAATGGGAACAGGGCAGAAGGGCTTCGGGTTAGCCAGAAAATTCAGTATTGCTATCATGTGGAAGAGGTAGTGAGTTTTACTTAAGTGTTATAAGCAGGGGTAAAACTGAAGATTTTTTCCTACTAGCCGACTGAGCCAGTTCAGTTAGAAACGTAGTCCGACATGCAGTCTTTTCACTAGCAAGTAGGCTCGTATTAACTTGACTTTGTACTCGCCCTTAGTCTGAATCGCAGGCAAGTGGGTGGGCATATTTTTCAGCCTTATTTAAAACAACCGGTAACAGGTCAAGCTCATAGCCATCAGTCTGAATTGAAAGATGTGAAGACATAGGCAATGTGCTGGACCACCACCTTTGGTGACCTCTCAGGACACCAGCGAGGAGGTCCTCAGGAGCATCAGGGTCCTGGGGAGTGAAGCCTTTTTCCTCGTGACCCGCAGTGACTTCACTGGACGCCAGTGTTATTAACTCAGGTCCACTGCACTTGGTGTCACCTAATGTCCACTGTGCTTGGTGTCACCTCTGGTCCGCCAGGCTTGATATCACCTTAGGTTTCTTGAGTTCTGTGTCACCTCAAGTCTGCCAGGCTTGGTGTCACCTCTGGCCTGCTGGGTTCGCTGTCACCTAAGGTCCGCCAGGTTCAGATCTGCCGGGCTTGGCGGATTCAGTCTGGCGTCTCTTCATTCCTTTTCCAGCAGCCTGGTGAACAATACCAACGTTTTCCTAGTTTCCTTTTTTGGGAGCATCGTCCTGTAACCGCAAACCCCCCCCCAACATCAGCGGCTTCTGTATGCTGCCAGGCCTCCTGCTAATGTGTCTGTGTGGGAAAGGTCCTGATGAGGTGGGGGTCTCAGCTCCCGCCCCCTCTGCATGGGGGGGGGGGGGCCTTGAAACACCTCCCATTAACGCCCCTACATCCGGTCATGTCTTAGGAAGGGGATGCGGCTGTAGAAGCGCTGAGTGGCCGTGTGGCGATGCCCTACGCTTTGAAATCACCCTAAAAATGCCCCACCGAGACCCTCAGTGGAGGAAGACAACTTCCTGTCTAATCAATGAGGGCAATAGTGCAGAGAAGCATCTCAGCCCAAATCTTTTCATGTTCAGCCTCCATAATGGGGTAGATCGATGTTCCTCGGCTGTCACTTGGAAGGGCCGCTGGTCTGCATTCTACTGTTTGTTTTGTCATCCTTAAAGCCCCTGGATGTAAATCATTGTAGC